AGATCACCAGTAGGTTTGAACGAAGTTCTAATAATTTTGCTGCGGGGTTTCTAACAAAATGCTTTAACACACTGATTAGCAGTGAATTTTCGCTAGGCCACTACAATCACTGATAAGGATGATGACATCGATGCGACTTAAATGAGTCCCAAATATTAACTTTTTCTTCCGTCAAATTGAATTCTAAAACATTTTTTCATTTATTAGAAAAATAAATAAAGACGTTTGAATTATTTGTAGGTAAAAATCATTTCCTATTTAGGGTAAATGGGTATTAAAATAAGTAAAATTAACCATTTAGCCCGAATCAGTAACGTCTTATGTAAACAATGCACGCGCTAATGAGCCAATGAATGACGCCGCGTGATGTGACGTCACGTGTCGAAACAGTCATCTGTTACAGAGATATTAGAAGGTCTCTGTGAAAAAGATTGATGCTTTAAGTGTTAATTTCGAGACCTAAATAAGTAAGCACTGCATTGGGGTTGGTCCAACGGTATTTTCATTAGCCAACCTAACACCTAATTGATTGCAAATCCGAACAAAGTGGATGCAAGAGAGATCAAAACACCACTCTCTTTCGATCCAACAAAAAATCGTCTAAATAATACACGCCACTATCCCGTTGGGCCGTATGTTGCACCGCCAATTTTCAAACAATGCACAAGCATAAGAACAGCCCATTGGAAGGGATTTATCCACGACATATAGGCTTAATTTGAAAGCAAGTACATTCAAGTCTGATGTGTGCACTGGTAAAAGCCTGAATGCAGATTTAATATCCATTTTAGTAAAGACTGAGACTACTTATCACTTCCAGAGCGGTGTCGATAGAGTATACTGAAGGGAACATTTGGAGACATCCAAGTTCCAATATCACCAGCTTATGGAGTGTTTGTGTCTCAACTAATTCGTTACGCGAGAGCTTGTTCATTTTATTCTGTTTTTTTAAGTAGATCGAGGCATTTGCCATCTAAGCTTCAACTACATGGATACTTGCGAACTAAACTTATTAAAACCTTTAAAAAGTTTTATGGCCGTCATTTTGACTTGATTGGTAAATATAACATGTCTCTCTCGGCTATTATTCTAGATATATATAATTGACGCGTATACTATCTCCCTGATAATGTATGTCTACTACATCGTTAACACTGTTCATCACGTGCATTTTGCATACCGATAGTTCATTGGCCAATCACGCTATTTTACCGAGATTTCGCCTAATAGTTTGGATGCAGCTATGGCGGGAGTGGCACCAGGCAGGGTAAGCTTACTCTTCCGGACACCTGTTACCACTGTTTGTCGTGTATTTTGTACACGGTGAACAGTCCATATGCTGATTACACTATTTTGCCTATACCGTTTTTTTTTTAGGACTTCGAATTTTGTCTAATGGTTTGGATTGTTCGTACTTGGTTTTATTTTATTATTACACCTTTCCTGAATGGATATGAGAGGTGGTGTATATGCCTCCACCCACACACCGAAGTGACCTACAGGAGAGATGCGAAGATTTGGTAAAGATCTCTCTGTAAACGGACCGGCAATTCTACTTAAGTTAACCTCTTTCTGAACATGTTCATATGGTTCATGTTCAAATTTGAATCCCCGGCTGTACGTGACAAGGAGTAGGGTCGCCTCTCCAACCTCGTGGGTTTTCTCCGGGTCCTCCGAAATGACCTAGTTTGTGTCGAGTGGACGTTAAACCCCATCTCTCTCTCTCTCCAAATTCTCTAAATAAAATTAAATTCTTACAATCTGTTTTGATTCTCGACGACTCATTGTCCTGGGCAACCTGTGGATGGGCTGTTAGGTATAAACTAAAGTAAATAATAAAGGCATCTGACTACTGGCTTATGTCTTTGATGGTAGTGCCAGAGAGTTTGGTTTCAAAGGACTCTCAGAATAAATAAATACAACGATCCCGGATCAGTTTGCCGAGCGAGCCTACTGAGGAGTTGACAAAGATTCACATAATTACCGTTGATAATTTTCTGCTTTAGAGTATTGAATACATGTAGCCCCAATTCACTGTAGTCCTAATTCACTAGAAGCGCTTTCTACTGGTTGAATTGAGTCAAAAAGAAGGTAGAGAATTTATTACAGGTATTATAACTGACTTAAGCTGGAAAAATGTTGTCTAAGACCTGAACGTATGAAGGCCTAGATGTACTTTTAGTAGTATTAGAACTAGAAGGCATCTCCATAACTGCTGTCGACGTCGCTGATTTCGATTTGATTGGTCTTGTTGTCTTCTTAGAGATTGTCGATCGCGTCTTCGGCATATTTAAATATCTTTTCTACTTCTGGGCTTTAAAGAAATATCACGCGAGCGTGAGAAAGCTTAACAAATTTAATACTAGCCAATTCGTGCAACAAACCAGCGGAGAAAGCGACACCCACCTCGTTTCAGGTGCCGTAACATTTATATTGTTGTAGCCCAGTTCAGGTCTTACGCATGGGGCTGACTACTGGGACCGGGACAGTTTGTCTAAGCTGGGGAAGGACATCCACATGTCTGTGAAAGAAAGTAATGATATTCGGTACACAGCCTGCCACAGGGAGATGGCTAGTTGGACTCAATTTATCTAGGCTAGAGGAGGTGCGTAGCTTTAACTTTAAGATAGAATTTGCCATACAAATTCATTTTCAGGAAGATTGGGTTAAACGTCCACTCGACACAAACAAATGGTTCAATTTTATGTCAATAACCCGCTTGGGAGTAGGTTCTTTAACAGTGGCAGAAAACCCACGAGGTTGGACAGGCAACCCTACTCCTTGTCACGGACAGCGGGGAATCGAAAACACGCCAGTCGACTCAATGACAGACCTCATGATACAGCGCCCACGTGCTAACCATTCGGTCACCCCCCGCCCTCTTAATTGAAATAATCAATGGGGTTTTAACTTTTTATTTTTATGGTGTCTAGTCGTTTGGATGGGACGAAAAAAACGAGATCACGTGTACGCATTGACGTGCTTGTAAAAGATTCCCTAGCAGTAAGAATTCGATACAAGAGTAAGCCTTGTCGCTGTCCGGCTAAAAATTTCCCACATAGCACACGGTATGCCGCATACCCGTCTTCATTAGCCCAGTCGGAGCAGAACAGTAGGACGTTCCACCCTATTTCACTTCATTTCTTTTCTATTTTATGCAACGCTCTGTTTCTAACTTCTAAGTAGAAGCCTGTTTGGTTATTCAAGATACATTCCCGCGTACAAACTTTGTGATTTGATGATATATTTGGATTAAAAATATATTCAAAGTAACCAATCTATCAAAAATTTGCTTCAATTCTCTCTCAAAACTTTGTATTCGCCGGGGATACTTATAGCTATAAGTAAGCTGTTGTTAGACGCAATGTCTGTCAACTTAGCTTCATTGTGGGAGGGGCCGTTTTTCAGAATGTATTTATCATTACTTACTGTCCATTTATCATACATATTGACCCCTAGGTAAATCCTTAATTTTTTCTGTCAACTTCTTTTCTGTCGTTTAATTGCAGAGTCTTATGTACGTTGACACCCCTCAATGTTCCCAAAACCGCCAAACCATTTGATCAAGAAATAACAACCGCTACCTCACTTAAGCTGGCACACAATAAGCTGGCAGATAACAGTCAGGTTGCCAGTTAGTGATACCCTGACAATTTTGCCCAGTGCTTGCCCCATGGGCGTTTTTCGGGTAATCCAGTATTTTTCTAGTAAGATTGGGTGTCTTTACTTTCCATATATACCAAATTTGACATACTTTTATTGGAAATAAACACCCGATAAATACTTTTCTGGGAAAGTATCTTTAAAGGAGCTAAATCGCTAATATTTTGCACCTAGAAATTGACACAAATGGGTCGTAACGCATATAATAATGTAATATGAATATATATAAACTGATTTACATTCAATCGTTTCCATTTTTACTCTAATTTCAAATCAGTTACGTTCGGCGAAATATGTCGGAACTCTCAATCGAATGAAAATTTCTAGCGCCTGGTTACTCTAGTTTACATAGTATTTATTGCGCATACTCTCCCGATATGAATATGCTGTCACCGTTTCACATGACTTGTTGAATGTCTAGCCTCGTTCTTCGAGTCCCTTGTTAGAATGGGCCTGCAACGCATTATGGTACACGATTCGTGTACCAATGGTAAAATGTTTATTTTGTCTTAAATATTTGATATCAGAAGCACATCTTTTCCCGGTAAGATCATAACATCAATGTTGATTTGAATTGACAAATAATTCGTGTTTTCAATGTCGAAGATTTTGGATGATATTGATTTACGGACTTAGCTACTTTAAGCTTGGTTGTATTTTTACAGAGTTAAAGATACAACCAGATACTTCTGAACATTGACATATGTTGAGTTACACCCTTTTCCCTGGGGTTGGACGGCTGAATGGTCTAACGCCTGTGCTTAGGAGGGGATCACGTGGCTAAGTGGGTAAGACGCTGGCTCGCTAGCCTGGAGGTCGGATGTTCGATCACTGCATTGGCCGAGAAAGTTAGTCCAGATTTTCCGGCGTGGTTCCCCCTTGTCAGTGATGCAGGACAGAGGGCCTGACAAGGTCAGCTGTCTAGTCCTTCGGATGAAACGAAAAACTGAGATCCCGTGTATACATTTGAATGCTCGTAAAAGATCCCTTGGCAGTTAGAATTCGATATAAGAGTAGGCGATAGTGCCGCTGCCAGGCCAAAAGTCCCTCACAGCACACTGTATGGCGTATGCCCGTCTTCATTAGCCCAGCATAGGAGCAGAACAGTAGGACGTTAAATCAAATTTCATTTCGTGTGCTTAGGTTCACAAGGTCTGGCGGCTTTGATGTCCTCGTAGGTTTCCCCCCGGGTCCTCCCGTTTTCTCCCACTGCCAAAATCTCTAAAACCATATGTTAGTCCCGTAATGACCTAGTTGTGTCGAGTGGACTTTAATCCCCATTTCTCTCTCACATACACAGCTAATAAACAGATCAAACTAAAAAACTAAACCAGTACTTTGTTTTACCCGAATCAAAGGGGTTCATTTATTATTTTAACGGGGTGTAACGTGTCGCGTGTTTAGATATGCTGCTATGTTAGGTACGGCTTCAACCCTTTCTTTAAGAGCCTTGATTTCAGGGTAGTTGCATAAGTCTTTTAAAACTTCAAATCCATGGAGCATATCACCTAAATCTAACAATGCCAAATCAGCCCAGGACAACTGCAGAAATTATAAAACAAAAATTAAATTTTAAATTATAGTAGTTTAATGGGCAATATGATTAAAACAAAGATCCTCTTTTGTTTCGTTATTTATAGTTCAAAATTTCGTTATACTTGTCTTCACAACACTAGGATCTGGGAAGAACTGTTATATAATAACAGGCGTTCTAGTGGATGTGAGTAATTCCCCAATGAAACTGTCTGTTTCGTCGAGTTCTTGGCGTACTCTGCACAGAACTGTGGGTAATCCCCTTGAAACATCAACGCTGATTGATTAATCAATGTCTGACGTCATAGGGTTAAAAGCCGCTCGTATGACCCCATGACGCGACCTCCCAGTACAACTGGTCAGATCGTCATGTAGTGTAGACCATCAAAAGTATAAAAGTGTGTTACCCACAGTTCCGAGCACCTCACGCCAAAAAATCGCCGTAACAGACCGTTTCATTGGCTAATCCAGAACGCGGGGTATATAACAACTCTTCCAGATCCTAGTGTAGTAAAGACAAATAAAACGAAATGTTGAACAATAAAAAAAAACGAAATAGAATCTGTGTTTTAATCGGATTGATATTGCACCAGCCAATGATCCAGTTGGCCAACATGCAGTGTACGATATACCTATACGATTGACAAGCTGAAGTCTAGGGCCTTGAGTTTTAGACGTGTTGGGCTCCCACCAAGGAGTATAATAGTTTTGAGACTGTAATAAGTTGTTTTTCTTACACGCAATGTGATCGTAAACATTCGTCGTCATCCCCGGCTTTGCTCAATTGTGTTCAAAACACACGTTCATCTACCAGTAGTGAGGGCGAGAGATGCGGAGAGGGGGGCACATACGTTGAATAGTCTTGGTCCTCTCTTCATCTAAAATTTGGTACAAAAGAATGAACTTGTCCATAAAGCGAACCTGGTGACATCGGTCAGTTTTATCAAAAAGACCTATTTATTAAACGATGATTTAAGAAACTTAAAAACTAACCCTTTCGCCGACAAGAAATCCTCTGCCATCCGAATTTTCAACCAAACATTGTTTTATATATGCAAAGGATTTTGGTATTTGTTCCTCTACGCACTTCCTCAGAATGTCGGCCTGTATAAAATACAATCATTGAAGGTCAGATGGCAATAGCATGGTATGCATGTCTTGTGTGTGTGTATGTGTGTACGCCACATCGACACTTGTCTGGTGGGGACGAGGGTGGGAGGGGTGGGGGATTGCACATCTAGTCGCCAAATTTATGGTTTAGGTGAGAGCGTGGGTGGTATGAGTTTAACGTCTAGTCAGCACTGTTCTAGTGGGAATGGGGAATTTTGAGCCGATTATAGTGGTTATCAGCAATCGTGAATAGGTTTTAGCACAGTCAATAATTTGTCCGCCGACTTGCATTCACGCATTGATCTCGATTGGGCGATCTGCCCCAGCCTGTTTCGCATGCAATGCGGGGATTAAAAAATGAAATGCTGCTTACCGTACTACTGACATACGGCCTACACTTATATCGAATTACAACTGTCAAGGGTTCTTGTAAGTTTTGGAAACGTCTTATCCGTAATACTCACTTTTTTAGCTTCATCTTTTTCAAAATACCGTGCGACAACAGATTCTCTGATTGCTACGAGCAAGTCTACTATAACATCGATCTTTAATTTTTCTAGATTTGAGTTACCAGCTAATCCTGTGAAACAGAGAAAATGAAATGAATAGGGTTTAATTTGTCTAGGTTAGATTCACCAGCTAAACCTGTGAAACGGAGAGAATGAATAGGGTTTAATAAAATATTTTTTTCGGCTCTATCACGGCTAATGAAGGCGGACATATCCCAAGTACGGTGCTACGCGGGACACTATCCCGACAGTAGCGCAGCTTCCTGCTCATCGTCCAAATCCATCCCTCAGTAATTATTTTATGTGCATGCTAAAGAATACACGTTTATTTATTAATAACTTGCTGGGATTGTTCGCCTTATTTTATCACTATCGAAATTCAGAATCGCGCATCCGTTTTGTGTGACGTTACTGCCCCTGTCATTGAACACTCGCGGTATTTTCGTCTTTCTGCGACGTGACCGACACTGGAAGTGGGTGTTATGGTCAACACCAGGACAGCCTTACCCATTAAGCCTTCTTGCGATGACCTACAATGCAAGCGGACATTAACTCATAAATTAGGAGGGGGTGGAGGATGGCTGAATGGTTAGCGTGTGCGCTTTGTATCATAAGGTCTGTCATTGAGTCAGCTTGCGTGATTTCGACTCCCCGGTTGTACGTGACGAACATTTTAATAAACATACCGAATTCATTGGCTAGATATCTGGAAATGGCAATACTTTCTGGAAATTGTTGCCCATCTTCTTCAAAAACTGGTAAGGCTCCCAGAGGATATGCTAAAATAAAACAATTTTACAGTATTTTATGCTTTGACTCGACGACTAACAGATATCAATAGTGAGCTACCGCTCTCGTTTACATTCGGTAAAAATAACTACTTTCATTTCTTTGCATTTCCTTAAGTTTCAAGTCGTTGTTTAACATATCAATAAATGGAGGCACCCATGTAGACACCTGTGAAGAGCATTTTATCATACAAGAGAGAGGGAGAGAGAAAGAGAGAGAGAGATGGGGTTTAACGTCCATTCGACACAAACTAGGTCATTTCGGGACTAACATATGGTTTAATTTTATTTCAGTGGCAGGAAACCGGAGGACCCGGAGAAAACCCACGAGATTCTCCTTGTCACGTACAGCCAGGGAATCGAAACCCTGCCAGTTGAGCCAATGACAGACAGTATGATACAGCGCGCGTGTGCTAACCATTCGGCCATCCAACCCCCTTATCATACAAAACCTTTCGATGTCAAAAGTTGATTTTCTTTTAAAGTGTATCCGATTTTCTTTAAACAAGGGACAACTTTGCAATAAAATCTCCACATACTCTTCGAACGACGCCGTTTTGCGAACTTCTTTCTACGCTGGTTACCTACGAATCAAGGGCAAAAGTTATTTTTAGTCTTACTCTCCCTTTCCTCTTTTCACCCTTTTGCATGGCGATCTTTGTTGACTTTTTTGTCAAGGATTTGAATATACTTTTCAATAATTATTATAACGTTAAAGGGGAATAACTCCAGTTAATGAATAGATACACGCCTTAATATCGAATATCCGAAAACTGTCCTACTTGGAAATCATCGAAATCGATCTGGAATGAAATAAGCCGTTTGTTTGTAGTGGTGGGGTCAGGGTTGTTGTTGGCGGGTAAGAGGGCTCCCCTTGTATATTGCGAATTAAAAGGTTTTTTTTTTTATTTCTGTAACTTTAGGAAGCTATTACTAGAGGATTCGACTAAGAGTATCCGAATTCGTGTCTATGACTGCGAGCTGGTAGATATCCATCTGTTGCAACGGATACTATCAGACTGTGACTGTAAGCTACTAGATGTTCATCTGGTGCATCAGTTACTATCAGTCTATGGAAGAGAGGTAAGATGACGTTAAGTTAATTTGCACAGGGAGTGGGGGGGGGGCGAATAGAAATAGATTAAAACCCTGTTTTCTCTGATTTTGACAGTGTATAATTACTTACATCCTTTTAATTTAGGCCACTCAGAAAATTCAATTCTGTTATCTGTATATTCAACTCCAGCAGCGGCAAAAATAAGTCTTGGAGTTTCGCCTCTTCCTCTAATATTAAAATAATGGTAGACGTATTTCTTCCCCATTATGACTTCTATTTTTTAAATCGTCGAATCTGAAACAGTAAAAGCAATACACGTCGTTTAGTTGGTACACATTGTTATACCATACAGACGAGAACAATAAACACGTAACTTGATCATACGGGCGAGAATGATAAAGGCGTAATATTCATACTGACGAGGATGATTAAAACTAACATATAGTTCAATTTTATTTCAATAATTCGCTTGCGCGTAGGGGTCTTTAACAGTGGGAGGACCCGGAGAAAACCCACGAGATTGGACAGGCGACCCTACTCTTGCCACGTACAACCGCGGAATCGAAACCACGCCAGTTGACTCAATGACAGACCGTATGATACAGCGCGCGCGTGCTAACCATTCAGCCATCCACCCCCCCCCCCCAAAAAAAAAAAAACGTTATTTAAACCCTAGTATAAAGTTTGTTATCTGATAGCGCAAAGAATACTTTTGTAACTAATTTCAAATCGTCACCGGCGAGCAGAATGTTTTATGTGGTCGTTCAAGTGTGCACAAAACTCGCAGTGTATCCACTAACTTATCATTTATTATTCAAGAAAGCGGGGCGGATTTGAGGTGGTAATGAAAAACAAGTTTAACCGGGTCGGGTCGTTCAAGCGTGAACACAGATTACGGTCCTGTAATGTAAACATTAACATCGAAGTAAAACAACCCTTATAATACTAAACAACGATTATTCTCAAAGTAAAAAAACAAAATGCTCGATCTCAAAATAGAAACAAAAAGATTATTCTTAAAATGGTGGCTGTATTGTGATAACGATTTACTTAGTGACGTATTTAGGGTTTCTGACCAAAAATATCCCTAACTTTCTTCTTTAGGTTGTTACTGTACGTACGTGGGTCTCGACGTGTCAATGAACGTGACAATGCATAGGGTCGAATTTCAAGCCTTGTGGATTTTCTCGGGGCCCTTCGGTTTCCTCACACTGCCACAGAAACATTCGCGTTAAGGTCGAAAGTACCATCCGAAAGGCTAGACAGTGTGAAATACAATCAAGGGGTAAATTTAGGTACAGCTGTACAGATTATAATATCGACCCTCAAAATAATATTACTCAAACAAAATCTTAAAGGGAGAGAGAGAAATGGGGTTTAACGTCCACTCGTTCATTTCGAGACTAAAATATGGTTTAATTTTATTTCAATAATTCGCTTGCGCGTAGGGGTCTTTAGCAGTGAGAGGAAACCGGGGGACCCGGAAAAACCAACGAGGTTGGGCCTACGCCTCGTCACGTACAACCGGGGATTCGAAACCCCGACAGTTTACTCAATAACAGGCCTTACGATACAGCGCGCACCTGCTAACCATTCGGCCATCCAACCTTCCTAAAATCTTAAAGATGCCTCATGTAAAGTGTTGACATTTGTCGACAAGATAATTCACATATAGATCATGAAAAGGGTAAACATTGAATTAATTCATTCTGGACGACGTTACGAGTGTTTGGGGAATAGCGTACTCTCGGTTTTCGTTGCTGTCGTTGTTACGATAATAAACAAAGTCACAGTTATCCATTTTAAATTAAATTATTCAATGGCGAGATATCGGAATATTGTAGGCCAGGGTCTACAGTAGGTAGATTTATTTAGCTCTTAAATAATGCATCTTTAAACTAGACAAAATGTCATCTTACCTGGGAGGTGTTTGTAATCGTTGATATGACACGGGGTGTTGTTTAGTTGGCTTACTATATATAAACCTGGTAAGTGTCTGTTATTGTTGATATGGAGGCAATACAGTTGTATCTTGGACTGCGGGAGTTTTACGTTCACTTCCACCAAGAGTGATATCGTAGACACGCGGTGATGTCCGATTTACTTACTATATATGAAGAGGGTATGTTCACACATGAATGACTGACCACATGTGATGTATAGTAAGTAACGTTGTGAGCGGTACTGTGTAAGAAGACATTGCTGAGGAAAATAGTCACTCTTCTCAATGGCTTTAATCGACCGGTACGTCACGCGTGGAAAATTTCTGGTTAATCTGTCAGGTTTATCAAAATAGATAAAACCCAACCAAAAGGGTAAATTATTGTGTTATAGCCAATAGCTAGGTTCCCACTATATATGATTCGTGCTACGATTGAAATCGTGGTTTTAATGGTGGAGTAATCGTGGTGATCCTATCCAGAAGCGGATTATCAGTGAGGCTGATGAGGCTGCAGCCTCAGGCCCAAAGATTTTGTAAAAAAAAATTTTTAGACTTGTCTGATACGATTAAAAACGGATACACAATGAATGTTAGGGGGGTGGGTTTAGGCCCAACGGGAATCAACATAGGCCCTGACCCGAAATTAATTAGGCCCATGCCATTTTAAATAGGCCCTATTTAAAAACTAAATAGGCACACCAGCAACTGCCGCTTCAGGCCTTGGTGGAGCTTAATCCGCCACTGATACTATCAGGTCTTATCATATATTGAGGTCAGTCGGAGTAATCGTGTGGATCGTATCGAAACGTATCCGAACGTATCTGCACGTAGAAGATCGTGGACTCAATAGGGACAATCCTGTCGTAACGCATCGCACGACAGTGGGAACCTGGCCTAAGTAGACTGGAGGTTCAGTTTAACAATACAAAATGAAATGGGGTTTAATGTCCTACTCTTCTGCTCCGAACTGGGCTAATGAAGACGGACATACGCCACTACAGTGTGCTATGTGGGAAAATTAATTTGTCCGGACAGCAGCACTGCGGCCTACGCTTATATCAAATTCCAACTGTCAAGAGATATTTTACGTGCACGCCAATGTGTACACGAGACCTCGGTTTTTCTTTCCATGCGGGGAAACCACGCCGGAAAATCCCGATGACCTTTCTCAGGCCACACAGGGATCGAACCCGCGACGTCCAGGATAGCGAGCCAGCGGGGCTCCGTTTAGTAACACCGAGAGAGAGAGAGAGAGAGAGATGGGGTTTAACGTCTACTCGCTCGATAGCGAGTCAGTGGGGCTCCGTTTAGTAACACCGAGAGAGAGAGAGAGAGAGAGAGAGAGATGGGGTTTAACGTCTACTCGCTCGATAGCGAGCCAGCGGGGCTCCGTTTAGTAATACCGAGAGAGAGAGAGATAGTGAGGGAGGGGTTAACGTCCACTCAACACAAATTAGGTTATTTCGGGACTAACACATAATTTATTTCAATAATTCGCTTGCGCGGTCGGGTTTAGCTGTGCGAGGAAACCGGGGGACCCGGAGAAAACCCACGAGGTTGGACAGGCGACCCTACTCCTTGTCATGTACAGCCGGGGAATGGAAACCACCCTAGTTGACTTAACGAGAGACCTTATGATACAACGCGCACTCGCTATCCATTCGGAAACCACCCCCACCCCCCTTTAATAATACAAGATGAGAGGATACACATGATTTCCGAGAGGAGGTTGACTCAGGTTTTAATTTATACACACATCCCCCGTCCGCCTCCTCATGTCATCAGTGTTCTACTTTCATTGGTTTAAACCTATTTTATTGACTTACCAAAATGATCAGGCGCAATTTTAAAAAAAAACAACTAAGAGTAGCCTTTCCATACACTTACTATTTGTATTATTATTACACAATTCTATAGAGCACAACTGTCATATAGATGTGCGCGTGTGCGATGTGCTCGTGTGCGCTTTATAAAGACACTCGGTGGATACCTGTCTCAATTAGTAACAAGGGTGGCCCAGTGAGTACGTCGTTGACTCGCTAACTTGGAGATCCCGTGTTGACCCCTTTGTTGATCGAAAGTTCATCGGGATTTTCCGTCGTGGTTCCCCCTTGTCAGTGATGCAGGAAGGATTTGATTTCATTTCTTGTCAATAGATTTATGTAGTTTCCTGTTTCTTTAAACGCGAAATCCCTTTTGTTACAGATAATAAATATTATGGTTGTCAAATTACAATATGGACTCAGACTAGTAATTATTTGCCCATAGACTTCAATGTTAAATTATGGCTGTAACATCACAGGCTGTAGCTTTTTGCTCAACATTCCGTTGGTTCCAATCTTTATAGGCACAATGGGGACCACATTTGGCAATCTCCTCATCATAAACTTGTAGGGGGTTGACCGTTTAGATTTTTTGCTACGGGGATTTGAAGTTGACTGGGGTGAAAATCTCACTTCCGATACAATGATTGCTCGGCAGAAAGACATTTTACACCCCCTATCCTTCCGCTGTAATATCATCAGTATTACCCAAAACTGCTATAAAATTGCAAATTTGATCCCTTTTCTCCTATTCTTGACCAAAAATGCAGGAAGAGAGGAGAAAAAAATTAAGGGAAAAATTGTCTATTTATAACTCGCACTACATTACTAGTCTTAATCCATATGATAAGAAAAGTGATAAACAGAGTTGTCTCCCTTTATATGTTCACCCAGCCGTGTAACGTTGCAGTGAGCTCTATAATAATCAAATCTTGAAAAGACATCTAGAAGCAAGTTTAACTATTCATAACAAAACACAACCCAAGGTATATATGGATATAACTACTTCTCTATTATTCAATAACGACGCTTCGCAACACATACAGGTCACGTTTTCAAGTTAATGATAAATATCCATCTAGTCAGCCTATTTATACATATTAAAGCTTACAACAACTTAATTACAAAAGCCAAAAGAAACCATTAACATCATTATGTATAAGACAGCATCCTATCGTTTTGTTGGGTTTATTTTTTTATTATTTTTTTTTTTTTTTTTTTGGGGGGGGGGGGTATTTTTTGTTCCAATTTCTCCCTTTATTTTGTTTTATATACCGTTATGATATATTCACATGTCTGCCACTTGCCAATTCACAGAATTCAAGTAATTATAATTCCAACCTTTACATTCTACGTAGCCAATTTGTCCTTGTTACACGGACTTGTAATAAACGTAATTTCTAGGCCCGATAGGTGTATAATGATGTGAGATGATACGGGGTTTAACGGCCTATTTTCTGCACCACTAGGGTTAATTAATACGGACATACGCCACGCAGGAAGACTTCGCTAACGTGTACTCTGTTCCTTGCATAAGGTGTTGGGGTGGATGGCTGGATGGTTAGCACGTGCGCGTTGTATCATAAGGTCTGTCATTGACTCAACTGGTATGGATTCGATTATCCGGTTGTACGTGACAAGGAGTAGGGTCGCCTGTCCAACCTCGTGGGTTTTCTCCGTTCCTCCGGTTTCCTTCAAGCCCCTACGGGGAAGCGAGCGAATTATTGAAATAAAGTTGAATCATATGTTAGTCCCGAAATGACCTAGTTTGTGTCGAGTGGACGTTTAACCTAATCTCTCTCAGGTCTCCCCATACACTTCAAGATTCCAAGCGAATTATTGAAATTGTTATAACATGTTAGTCCCGAATACGCCTGGTGTATGCCGAGTGGACGTTGCCGCTCTATCTCATGTGACAAAGAGTTGGATCGCCTGCCCATCCTCGTGGGTTTCTCCGGTTTTTTCCCTCGCAATGTATACCTCCTCTCTCTCTCTCTCCCTCTCTCTCTCTGTATCTGTGGTCAGTCTAGTATTGACCGGTGACATAGTATAATGTTGTCAGAACGTGATAGTGTTGATGTGTTTTATTTAACAGTATAAGTCCAAGTTAAACACAACACATGAGGCTTAATATAAAATATTCCCGCTATTTACGTGGAATTCTCTAATCATCGACAGAACATGATAATATGAGTTTAAAATAGCGTCGGCATACAACTGTGGTCATCTCTTTGCCTTTGCACGCAGCCATGCACGGTGGCACATTGGACATTACGCTGGTTAGTGCTAAATGATAAGGTCAGCTCAATTTTTCAACATAGTTTACTATATGTAGACAGGGCTAGCGCTAATCCCAAATTCGTAAAACTCGCCAACAATCACGCGTCTTAACCGTATTTACATCTCAACGACCTTGGTAAAATTGAGCTGGCCTTAACAAATAGATTAAACCGCTTTTCGCTGGTTCGACCCCGGTGTAAGCCGATAACATTTTCCAGTGTGGTTTGACCTAGGTGTTAGGTGAGAACGTTCCACTAAGCTTTCAGCCCCGTTTACCCTTGTCAGTGGTGCAGGACGGGGGGGGGGGGCTGTCAAAAACAGGGTGTGCACGTAAAAGAACTCTGTGACAATTACAGAATTGCAACCCTAGCACGCTGTGTGACGTATGCCTATGTTCGGTTTCGGCAGCCAAGTATGACGTTAAACATTTCATTTGTCGTTTCATCACGCTACTGAGTCAATTGGCATGGTTTCGATTCCAAGCTTGTACATGACAAAGAGTTGGGTCCCCTCTCCAATCTCGTGGATTGAAATAAAATTGAACTACCATGTTTTAGTCCCGAAATGATCTAGTTTGTATGGATTGGGCGTTAAAAACTCCAACGGTCTTTTATTGAGTCAAGTGACGTGCTTTAGATCCCGGACATGTACGTGACAAGGAGTAGGGTCACCTGTTGAGCTGTATGGGTATTCTCCGGGTCCTCTGTTTTTTTCCCACACCTTAAGCGAATTATAGAAGTAAATTTCTACCATTATTCCCAAAAATGACCTAGTTTCTCTCTCTCTCTCTCCCCCTCTCTCTCTCTCTCTCTCTCTCTCCCTCTCTCTCATTTCCTGCACTTGTTTCTATAATTAATGAAATTATCGATAACAGATAAATTGCTTGGTTGCTTTGAATGTGTCATTAGTGATCAATGTTAAAGTAGCTAAGTCTCTAACTCAATACCATCCAGAGTCTTACACGTTGAAAACACGAATTATTTGGCAATTCAAATCAACATTGATGCTGTGATCTTACCGGGAAAAAAAATGGGCTTCTGATATCCAATATTTAAGACAAAATAAACATTTTACCATTGGTACACGAATCGTGTACCATAATGCGTTTCAGTCAGCGTCATTTGTATCAGGTGACCAGAAAGAACGAGGCTAGACACAT